TCCGCACAAGCCTGCTCTGGTTCAGTGGCAGGCGGCGCAGCCTGAAAAAGAAAAACTCTAAAATATGCCAAACACATCCCCTACATTGCCATGCCCCCAAACAGGACGACGCATGAGTTAGGACTACCTGCTCTTGAAAACTCATGTCTGAAACTATCCAACAAGCATGCATGTCAGGGTTCCCAGCAATCTCCGAAGCATGCCCGATATCTTGGCCAAGGCTAGCTGCCTCATCATCACAGAAAACTGCACTAGGACTAGATCCCAATCCTCTGTCAAGTCACATGACTTCAACTACAAAAACCTACATCGGCGTGACATGATAGAACGTTAGAAGAATGAGGCGCTGACCGATCCACACCCTAGACCAGCGGCATTTGCCTTTGCATGCAGAACTGCATGAGCTAGGAGTTTGCGACATGCAGCTCCTTTACAGAAGGTTGTATTTCAGCTCTTCCAATGCGATTGACAACTATAATTCAGGGTTCCCCACATCCTCCGAGCTCATCGCAATCTCTTGGCCACTAGGTGGGCCGCCTCATCCCAGAAAAATAAACAATACCCAAGAGCCGTTATCAAGCCCTATCAACCTTCTTGCGTGCAAAACACATATCATATATATATATTTAGATAAACGCAAACAGTTCGAGACATATGAGTTGGGACTTACCGCTACATATTTCATTGCGCCAAAGGAGTCTCCTGGCCTCTTCAATCTGCTGGGCCTTCACCGGGCTACCTGGCAAGGAAGCAGGAACAACACATGTGCTTGCAAACCTGCCATGGCAGCACAACAAGGGCAGGAATTCATAAACTAAAATCTTCAAATGTCCAATGAGTTGGGATTCCCCATGCACAATTGACATGATGGAGCCCAGCTCCCTCGAGCAAAGTTTTTCCTTTTCCCTGAAACATCTGCCAACTATGTAATTGACAGCCCCAATCTGTGCTAAGGTACGCATGTATTCAAATATATACATGCCTGGGAACACCCACATGTCAGCCAATACTCACTGATGTGCCCAGCTCATCTCAGCTCTCCAGAGCATCAATGTCATTGTCGCTCATGCGACAAGAGCGCTTCAAGGGAGGCCGAGCAACCTCTTCAGAGCCATCGGCTGGCGGCATTTTGTTCTTCAAGCTGCTGCTGCCTTGCCCAGCACCCTGATCATCCTTCTTGCGATCTTCTTGTTTTCCTATCTCATCTCGATTCATAGCTGGATGCTCCTTGCAGTAGATGTGGTAGTGGTGATGATGGACAATCTGCAAGACCAGCTGTGGGTAGTGCTGTTTGTCAGGCTCAATTCCGGACTTCAAACTCATGATTTCTGCCTCATATGACCAATGGTCTGTTTCACTCCCGTCTGTTGATCCATCTTCCTCCAGGGATGTTGAGCCCTCGTCCAAAGAGGGAACAAAGCTCCACTCATC